CATCTCCGACATAGGGAAGGCTCCGATTTTCCTTTCATCTCCGACATATATAATATATTTAATTATATATTTAATAAAGAATAATTTATTTTTGTACTCGAGGTATGTAAATTAATTTCATGACAAAAAATAATTAGGCAATGAATCAAGCAATGGATTAATTTAATCGAATCTGCCTTACATAATCATTTCTTTGGTTTCTATTCTAAAACCGCCTTTCATTTGCTCAAAGTATTTCTGTTTCTTAAAGGTATCATAAACTATTTCATTGGCTACTATTTGCTCTTTACACTTTGCACTGGCTCCTTTGCTCATCCCCCCTCCGTCTCTTTCTCCTTTTTTCTCCTCTGTACCTTTTTTAGCCATTTCATTAGTATTTCTTCCACTCTCAAGCTTGTTCTACGAATTTCTTCGTACATCTTCCAGTGTTTAAATGTCCCATTTGTTGGTTTCACAAAATAAACACCTGTTTTCTTCTTCAACTCAATCAAAATCTACATGAGTTCTTCAAGCTGCCGCGCTTTACTCTTGCCAATATCTTTTGTTTCCTCTTCTTTTTCTACGTTAGATATTTTCGTAAACTTCCTGTCGTTATTCTTCTGTATTTCCTACTATATCTAGTTAAATCGTTATATTCTGTTCCATTGTTTCTGTCTTTTTACACCTTTTTCCTCTTCCTTAGGATCTCTCCTACGTCCATTCCTTTCTTCTATAATTGTTCTACTTCTTCTTCGCTGTACCCGCATTCTTCGAAGTGTCCTAACCTTTCTTTGAGTCTTTTACTACCTCCTTTGTTCCTCTTTTTTTCAGGAAGGATGTTTCTTTTTTTTTAGGAAGACTTTTTGCTACATTCTCCTTTATTTTTCTGTCTTTTCGTCCAAACCTTCCTTTCTAATCGTTTCAAGTTCTGTTTCTTCCGTCCTATACGCTAGAACCCCTACTACGAGACTGTTAAATATCTTCATTCCCCCTCTTGTGATCATCTCTAAAAAGCCTCTCTTCAATTTTCCTCAAAATTGCCTCATGATTATGTTAGCCTTCCTTGCGAAATTTCTAACACGTTCATTGACTTTAAGTACATATCCTAAGTATTTAAACTGCTTAATCTCTCTTTCTAAAGACTACGATCTCCGATTTATCCGCTTTCAAGACCAGCTCTTTTTTTTATCCAATTTACTTTACAAAGTACTTAACAAGTTTTCTTATTCCTTACTGTATTATAAGAATATTATAACGTAGCATGGCAAATGAAGAAGGTAACGAGACAAAGGAGGATGCAATGAAATAATGCATAGGGTAACGTGTTTCTTTTATTTATAATTCTTTCAAAATAGTCCCCTAAATACTTGATACATTGCTTAGAACGTTCGTATAAGATTTCGAAAGACTTTGAGAAAATGTTCCGTCTTATGAAAATGTATGTGTGTGTGTGTGTGTATTTTACATTTTTTGGAGCATTAAATTATTTATTGAATGAAACGCCGCGCTGTTTTTTCCATTTCACAAATTTACGATCGTGGTTTCGGGAAAAGAAGAAGGAAGTCGGTAGAAGAAGATAGAAGGTAGATCGAAGATCACAAGATAGTGATCGGAGTAATGATCAAACCCCTTTTGGCCCCTATAATTTTAGGGTTTTCGTCGTTGAGAAATACGTTGAGAAAATATGTATACCCGCGGAGGACAAGTTATATACATTATATGTGACTGGTAATGCCATCTAGATGAAATTTTCGTGCATATTATTTCTTTATTGACAAAATAGTTGACCAAAAAGTACGTTCGTATTGAACACTTTTATTCGAATTCGATCTCATTGTATTTCGACGGTTGTATCATAAATTAATATAGAAATATAGATAGGTAGATGCGTACTCGTATTATCGACAATTTAAAAAGATGCTACAGCTTCGCAAGAGCGGTTATTCTTTTTTCGTGTCAGTACTTAGAATTATGCAACACGCATATGACACAGTTATACGAATATTGCCTACATATACACGTGTCCTATTCAGCTTCGATTGTTTAATCGACTGTCGCGATTCTATGTACGTAGTCGGGTTCGATTCAATTTGATGCGATTCGATTCGATTATGTATTCGTGGCCATTCTTACTGATCGTCGATTAAATCAACTTACGAACTCCATCCATAATAGTAAATGGAAGACCAATCGATTTAATCACAGTCCGATCGATTTTTCGTTGGGATTAATACAATTCTTTATGTTTTCGCGATTTCTGATTAAACAATAACAATTAGCCGCGTAAACGAAGATAATTCGATAACGTGTATACTATTTGACTGGATAAGATAACCAATGACCGACTATGTACACTATATAGTGTATACATGCAAGTATATATATGACAATCATGCGCATGAAATTCGTTTCGAATATTCGCATCTTTGATCGTCGATAACGGGTCAATGATAATGACGGTATCGTAATTGTCCTACCGATTTCTCGTACACATTTCCTACCTATCTATCTACAAGGCGCGTGAATAAAATTTTTAAAATCTTACATTTTAAACGAGTAACAATCTCGGACACAATCTCTCTTAATTCGTTCAATGAACGAACGAAATAACGAACGAACAATCTTGATTCGAACGTAACGCGATCAAGCGATGAAAAACATCCGCAAAGGATCAAGATTGTCTATTCATTGAACATTTTCCATTTGACTCGTAATTAATCGTATCATCGCCGTTTCTGTATCGCTTCTACTCTCCGACCTCTTTCTTTACCTATCCTTCCTTTTTCTTCTCTTCCCCTACTTTTTGCCTCCCAGCCCTGTCCATACCTAATCGTTCTTTCATTGCTAATCGACCTGCTCTCTCTTCAAATCATATCGACTATCATCGATTATACGGAGGATTGTTTTGTTCGCGCGGAACACAGTTGAGGCATTTCATATATTTTAACGATCATTCGTATCATGGCTCGTCATTTGATTCACGACAAAACGCTCGACGTTTTGGCAGTTTGATATCTTCCTATCGACTCAAGTTTTTCCAACTTTTTGGATTGTCCCAAAAAGTCGCGTAACCACGTTTTAGTTTGCCTAGATACCGTGTCTTCGAGATCACGGCGAATCAAATATATGTACATACTTGCACGCTTCTGTACACATTTGTTCGTATTATCGAGTTATTATATATATATATATATATATTATATAACAATATATTACGCTTCGATAAAAACTTTCGTGGAAAATATAGATCGTAACCTGGATGAAAAATCGCTAAATAATTAGCGTAATCGGCAAAAGCGTAGCCAGCACTGCGATCGGTGTTCGATCATTATCATTTTAATTACCGATAGCTAATCGCGCAGCTACCTAACCGACCCCATCAACGAGTTTGCTGTCTTATTCCCTGTTATCCGAATGTATAATATAAGTACTTATATTCGAATATACTTATATACCTACTTATTATATATTCGAATGCACACCAGGGATCAAAGAGTCACTAAATAGCAACGTAGTCGTAACAGTTAATTATGATTTACATATATACAATCGGCAACGGTTGATAATTTCTGTAATATCACCGTCCCTATATTTGTCCCGAAGTTTGATCACTTATTCGAATTTCATTGGAATTTCATTGAACTGTCCCTAATCTTCTCTCCTCTCTCTCCTTGTCATGTCATGTTTCGCATCCGCTGTTTATTTAATGATATTCTCACAGTTATTTTCTGCCCATATACACGAAATGGTATATGCGGAATGTTAAGGTAAATACACATGGATCGTTCGTCTTCAGGAATATTCAACATTGGTCGGTGCGTGACCGATATTATTTGCAAATGATCTTACTAGTTCTACGAGGCTTTGCGCCTGTCGCGCCGTTAGGACGGTTTTTATTCGAAAAACTAAATGCAAGAAAAGAATATTGCTCTAACATTCTTGCAGGAGATAGCAGATAGTAGAAAGAATCCAACGAAATAAGCGTATAGCGGAAATATTCTTGTACCGTGATTTTTCTGCGCGTATCTATAAACCCACTGAAACCTTTTTCCTCGCGTCACACGCATTCTCTTTTTTCGTTCTATATCACATAATTTCACTTATCGCGCTTGCCCGCTTTCGTCCTTTCATACTCCTATCTATCTAAGTATATACATACTTATCTAACTATTTACCTTAACTATCTACGACTACTTACTTATAGACTACCCGTCTATGTCATTTACCTATCCTACATAGCTACTTGGCTATGGTTTGGGGTAGTTAACTAGCAGAATGGCTAGTTAGCTGACCGGAGCTAGCTGTCCACCTGTGATTACGAATGGTATACGCACGTTCGAGAATTAAATCAATCGTATAATCAATCACACGAAAACTATCTCTCACGAACGTAGATATTATATAATGAGAACGTACGTGCGTAGCTGTATACGTATATGCGTGTGAATTCCGACCAGTTTCACATTGTATTTTCTTATATTGGTTTGCCTTGTATACACGGATAAAGGAATAATGCCGTGGAAGGATGAGAAACGATTCAATATTGACAGTTTGCGATCTCAATAGAGATGACTATTCGCTTACTGTCAATGCCAACGGCTACATTGCTTTATTAAATATTCTCAGATAAATTGTAGGAAAAATATGGCAAACGAAGAAAAGAAATTCTTTGAAGCTGAAAAAAGTAACCACAAGCATCCATCTTGTAATCTTACACAGCTGTAATAAAGACATTATGATATTCTATCTAATTTACGAATGAACACCTGGCATAGTGAATCATGGGTAGAGATTCAAGTCGTACATTTATAGAAAACTTGTATTCGACCGCTTTTTTTCGAAACGAAAGAAGTGTACGCAAAAAAGTTTTCCAGTTATCTTCAACCTCTCTTTTCCGTATTTAAATGTCTCTATTCCAAGAAGATTGCAAAGAGGGTAATCGTACAGCTGCATCAAAGATGTGTGAAAACCGTGTCTGTAATTTATTCGTGAACATTTATCGTGAAATATCGAACGTAACCGCGATCGTAATCGCAATCGCAATCGTAATGGTAATTGTAACCGTGACTGTGACCGTAACCGTAACCGTAACCGTAACCGTAACCGTAACTGTAACCGTAACCGTAACCGTAACCGTAACCGTAATAGTATTGTCGTCGATTCATTTTCACGTGAATATATTCGTGCCGGACACCTAGAACGTGCAGCAGATGCCCTATTCGAATGTTTCTTTCTCGTTTAATCTTGTGTGATCTCGCTTGGCATCATTTCATTCATTTTAGTTCATCTTAGAATTCGGTTTTAATCGATCCAATGTTACCCGGCCAAGATCAGGCTGTGCATAAATTTACGTACACGTACTAATGTGACTTCATTGTATTTCGCAGAATGGTAGCTTGCCGGTTAACTCTTTCGTCTGCTCTTGATCTTGGCTATTAGCACCTTCGCTTTTTGGGCTGCCTCCATCTTCTAAGGAGCCCCCACCATTTCCGTGGGGGCAAATTGATTGTCATCTGAGCGCCAATGTCGAAATCATCGGAGGTCGCGACGGTTTGTTATCAAGAATTCTTTCAATTTCGTTCATTATATTGGCGTTCAATTTTGGAATTAGCTGAAATCACGCATCGTTTATAATAATCACCCGCTCGTTTCGTTCGCGACTATCGAAATCGAGATACGAAATACGAATGTTTAATTTCACCAATAAGAAATAATTACCTGTAAACTTTGAAGACTCTCGTACAGTTGATCTATGTTTGATGCACCGAGTAGAAGGCACTGAACACTTTCATTCTTTAAAGACCACGCGATGGCCAACTGTCCGAAAGAGCAACCGAGTCGTTCGGCGAGTGCACACACATCTCGCAGTTTATCCGAATATTTTCGCGTTTCGTCATCGGCTGACTTTTCCTTCCAGCCATATTCCTGCTGAAACAAAGACAGAAAAGAACACGATAACGTAACGTACGTTCACACATAACGTTCGTTTATTCCCTTAACTTTTACGTATGCTTATGTGCGTGGAAATACGGCATAGCCTATCACGATATGCGAATTCGACTACGTACTTCTTTATACAAAGATTGCGTTTCGTCTTCGGTCCAACTGAATGACGAATATTTATTCTGAAATGAAAAGGTAAACATTGCAAGCATTATTATTTTGCTAGCGCTACAGATATTTTGAGGCCGACAGCTACCAGCTTCCTCAATTATTTTATCAATAATTCTATATATTCTATGAAATATAACGAAAATTTTCTTTCCGCATAATATTACCTTATACGAAGATCTCGATAAAAAAGATACACCACAGTCGTCTGGTTTCGAAGAAACCATGCCGATCGTAACCGTGGACCACGCCATCAAACCAACACCTACGATTTACAAACGACTTTTTTGAATGTTGTTAAGGAATATGCATACAGTATACTATGTCGAGTAAATTGGACGTTTCGCGATTAAATACCGATTTTATTGTATAACTCTGGCATATAAAGTTCTGGTTTTTCTCTATAAAATAGATGATATTCGGCTTGTTCCACGATTGGTGTGACACAATTAAATTGACGGCAATTCGTGTAAGCTTCCATAATTTCGACAGGGGTCCAACGAGACGTTCCCCAATACATTACCCATCCTTTACTTATCACGTAGTTCATTGCACGTACTATTTCTGAAAGAAGAAAATAAGAAGCGAATAAGAACGTGATCGTAAGTGTCGATCGTTTCAATTATTTTTAATAGCGTATTTTAATTGTACCAGAGAAGCAAGAAACGAACCTTCCATAGGACACATAGGATCTACTTTGTGAATCATTACAATATCGATGTACGATAATTGTAACCTGACTAAAGATGCTTGCACCGATTCGATTATGTGTTTTCGTGACAATCCACGTCCCTCTGCCCTGCGATGATCAAATTTCATAACGTCATACATCCGATTTACATATCTACGTCGTACTGTTTCGTCGTAATTTTTCTATTTCTAATTTATCAATTTTGATCACCATTTTTTGAAATGTAGCAATTGTCCCGAACCAGTATTTATCATTTTTATTATGCATTTAGAAGTTAGATCAATTCGATCGATACTCACTTCGTGTTCCAATATATTTTAGTGGTAACGACGTAACTTGAACGATTCCAAGCACGTCGTAATAAAATTCGTCCAAATTGAATTTCTGCTCTATGACCGCTATGAGCTTCGCTCAGATCGAACACATTTATTCCACTGTCATAGGCGAGGGCAACTACAGCTTCAGCTGTTTCCTCATTACTGCAACCTCCTATTCCGAAAGTTGTCCATGTACCTACGTGTATAAAGCAATTTTGTTAACTCACTTGTCTCGATTAGGTGCATATTAATTTAATTTTTTCACCGTTTTCAATAGACAAATACGATGCTGCAACATTTCCACCTTTACATCTATCGTTATTTTTATTTAAGAACCGCAATATATGGTTCGACAATCGATCCCTAAACCTTTATTACGCATCACGTATACCTATTTATCTTTTTCCCTCCTACCACCACCACCAACATCATCATCATCATCATCGTTCCGAATCATTGGCTCTCACACGCGGCAATTTTTCCTTTTCTCTTCATTCTTTTTCATTCCCTTTTTTCTTTGTTCATTCGCCTGAGATTTTGATAGCTCATAACCTCAGAAACACTTACGCAGTCTGAATATAATAATTTATAGAAATATCTTCGATCAAATCTCTCCAAAAACATTTATAATTTTGGGAAATATTTCCAATTACAACGACGACGACTCCAACCACGACGACCACAATGACGATCACGATGACAATGAACACGACAAGCACAATTGTCACAACAAAAACAGCAATAAATATAAGAAGTTATCTGGATATGGATATTATTGTTATATTACGCGTCTTCCTATATTACTTTGTTCACTAATTATTTACATTGCATCTTGCTAGAAAAACGTACGTGAAAAGCGTGCATGCCCACGTTGGTGGATATAAAGATTGCATCGACAAGATTTACTAGGCGAAGCAAAAGAAACAAGAATAATAACTACAAATGTGTGGAATAGACAAAAGGAACGGTGAGTGGCACTGTCTATGGATTGAGAAAAGATATAATTTTCATTGTTTACTGTACAATACCTATAGTCTAACAAAATATAGCCAACATAATACTACTGACAAGCTATCTGAAAAAGAAGTATAGTAAAGCATACATTGAGATGGAATAAAACGGGTGGGTAACCGCGATTCTGTTCGTTTCTACGTAAGTTGGGAAAACATTCAGCGTACCTAATCCAACATTGGAAACACGTAGACCGCTTTTGCCCAAGTTGCGGTAGCGAATACCTGGCGAAGGATGCTGTAAGCGCTGCGCTTGTGCGGCAATGCAGTTAGTCAGTAGCTGTTCCTTCGTTCCAGTGGTATTACTGCAATGTACACCAGAGTCCACAGCATTGCCACCGCCGCCACCGCCGCCACCGCCGCCACCGCCGCCGTTGAACTCTTCCATGCAATCCAAACTCGCTATAGGTGCACGGCAGCTGCGCGTATAAAGTATAGGTACAGAGTAAGTATTAATAGGACACGATCGATCGAATGTTCGATACAACCACATAAACATTTACAACTAGGAATTCGTAACATGCCAGTCTATGTGAAACATTACTCGCTTGTTATTTACTTAAAATTCAAAATTAGCGGACTGCGGAAAATTGGAAAAACATTCCAGATAGTGTATATATCACGTTTCACTGTGTTGTTAAGCAGCTATATTATTGCAACGAGTCGATTACATATTAGCTATGTAACTGATTTTGCCACTTCGATTATGTAAGAAATTTTTCGTCGCACATGTTGCGATGTATCTTTCTCTTGGTAACATGTTTCTGGTACCGAAGGGCAAAAGAAATACTTTGAAAACATTCGATCATTATCGCGTGTGTCCTTGTATGAACGTGTGTAGAAACGCGGAAAATATGATATAGAAACAAGTATACAACAACAAATATGATAGAAGCAAGATAATGTTTGTCGAGATGTTTTGTTATAGCAGTCGTTGTTAGTTTGTTATACTATTCGTTTATCTTAATCTTGTTGAATTTGGTAATATGAAATTTGCATGTGCAGGTACGCATACAGATTCGACGCGGCGTGGTGAAAATAGCAGGAGAATACGAAAAAGAATTGAACGTGACGCGGATGGAAACAGGAGAAAAGGACGAGGAGGAATGGTAGATCATCGATCAAGAATTCACTCACCGATAAATAGTTGGCAGTGGATAGTAGTCATCATCCTCCATACTACTATTCGTATTTGCATTGTTATTTGTATCATTTCCCGCCGTGGATGTATTGCCGAGATTACACAACATTAAACGAGACATTGTTGTATATCTTCGATATATATGTATATATGTATGTATGATAGAAGCGGAAGATGTTTCAAGAGAACGGAAATTGCGAAGAGATGCAAAGAGAAGGCGGTAAGATTAAATCTAGATCGGACAAATACGAGTGTGCTTGTTCATTTGAGCCCCGAGAAAAATGTTAGTAACTTCATAATAATTTCATTCGCATTTCAAATTCGATATTAATTTTCTTTCGACGATTTTCATTCACATTATTTTCTGTTCCTAATCCTAGTTCTAGTGCGATGATTGCAAATTTCGCTTCGGAAATAAAGAGTAATATTCTTATTGTGAACGTGACAGATTCGATTGAAATTCTAACAGAATGAAATCGAGATAAGTCGCGAATATCTCGAGTATCACTGTATCACTGATCCATGATTTGGTTCATCAAACGATCCCAATCGATTTGACGAATCGTTCTATATTTTCAAGTCACAGCATTTGATATATGTATTTATTGCGCATATACGTTATATAGGCACTAGTATTTCTTTACTTAAGTTATTTAGGCACCACAGTAAAGAACATAAGGAAGTACTGCTCGCAACTAGTCACGTGATATCGAAATGTTCTGCAAAATCCTTTTTTGGTTTTACCTGGTTCGATCAGAATATTGTTCAAACACTATGACACGGAATATTTATTTTAAAAACTACACGTAATTACGTAAAAACGAACGGTGGTCGATATGAGTATCGATATGTGGTACGATTGCTGGCGTGGCGCGGTGAGAGAGGTAGGGCGCGATGATTATTAAACTCCAGACCGGACACTAACAACGCCGGACACTAAAAATCCACTTTTTGCGGATTATCCACTGGTCCAACTGGTAACTTTGTAATATATCAAGCTGATACAAGGTTAATACGACGAAATCTCATTCAGCGATTCCAAACTCATTCTCTATCATAATGTAATTCTGTACTATATTGCTTCGGACTCTGCTTTCTTTTCCAATTCAGACTTGAACTTCCGTGACGTTTGTTGTCAAATTCGAGTCTTGATCTTGATTTTACTCTCGATCCAATTTTTGATCTCAATTCTCTCTCTTTCTCCCTCTCATTTAAAAGTTGTGCGCCAATTCCAGATTAATCTTCGTTGTCAGTCGCGTGTAGGTAAAAACATTCGGCGCTAACTATCCTTATGATCCTCGTTCCGATTTCTCTTTCAAATAGGACTTGCCTTCCACGATGTTTCTGTCGAAATACCCGTCTCTGGATAATCGATTTTGCGTTGCGATTTACGGTGAGACTGACGAAACATTTGTTAAGAAGAGCAATAAAGAGGAGAACGTTGGAAAACTGAAAACACCGAAACGTAGAACAAAAAATTTATGAAAATGTTAGGATCCTATTGTAGAAACGGCGAGTGTTATGCCTTCTACGTGGTAAGCAACACTGCATAACTTCGATGCACTGTGCTCCCTCCTTTACAGCAGAACCTACGAGCGTGCGTGCTGTCCCGTCTCTCTTCCACTACGGGTATCTTGGTAGTTTAATGCGCGTGTGCGCGCGTGCCCGCGCTCGCGCACCGTGTTTCCTACCACGCCGCGTACACCTAATCCCTACCGTTCTTCCTCGTCTCTTCTCACAGGGGGTTGCGGTTGTTTTCAGAGCGCATGACGTTACCGTCGTCGCATTCAACGCATTCAGCGCATTCGCCGCATTTGCCGCATCGAGCCTCTCCTGAAATTGTATTTCTCGCCCGTCCACCCTTTGTCTCATGCTCCGAACTAGGATCATCTAATCGCTTGCTCTATTCTTCTTCTTTAAGTCATCTTGTTTTCCTAGTTTCATCCTCCCGCCTTTCTTTTTTCTCTTCTTGAGTTCATTCGCAAACCAATCGATTTATCCTTTCCTTCTCCTTCCCTTTCTCACTCTCTCTATCTCTCTTTCTCTCTCTCTTTCGAATAAGTTGAATTCGTTATCACTAAATCCTTGTCAGACGCACTGACTATGATCTCGTTTTACGTTTTCGTTTTTATCGATACAACACGAAACGTATATGGGTATATAGATATGTACACATGTACAAATATCGTATGCGAATATGAATAGGTAAATCGAAACTGTGCATGAAATGCTCAAATGATCGGTAGCATTAATTGTTCGGTCAATTATTAAGGGTACAAAAATTCACCGGTATAAAATGTAGCGATAACTGTCTCTGCGACAACGCCGCATTGCAGATCCGGCGTGGTGACGTGCAGCTGACCCCTTCCTGAACCGTTTATGGTCGCCCACGTTGTTCGACCTACCGACCTAATACGCGCTCGACCTACTGCCATCCAATACAGCATGGATCCACTGCTTAGTACATACATACTTACTTGAATGCGTTTCACCTACTGTTTCACGTGTTTGGTACACACGTCGCGCTGCGATTGCATGCGTGCGCTTGCATAAATACACATCGTATAAATGGAATATCGTATTGCTCTCTACATGATTCACTGAACCTCATAGTACAGTTCTCAATTAGTTTTTGTATACGTAGATTATGTATTCGAGGAAGGGTGATCAACACGCTAAACTCGAAATGCTAGAAACATGTAAACGTTGCGTATCGCCTAAACTTTGTTCGAATCTCATTCCAAGCAATGAGAGTAGTCCGATCTTTCAAAAAGCACAAAGCGATCTTTATTGTTCTACTTACCTGTTAAAATTCTGCAACGTGTTCCGACGCGTTTCTGCTCCTTGCTGAAGCGAATCTGCGCCGCGTGACGGCTGTCTGCTCTTCTCGGATTCGCAGATCGACTCTTTCGTTGAAATCGTGCCAAAGGTCTCGGAGACATTGATTACAATCGCCGACACACGGATACGTTATAGTCGCAGAGAGAATCGTAACGCAACGTGTAACTTTTCAATTATCGATACGATGCATTCGCTAGCCGAACCATTGTCAATCGAAAAATCGGTAAGAAGGAACCGAGCAGTTGTTCGGCGTGTTTCGCGATAGGATTAAAACGAAATTACCAACAATCTCTTTTTAATAACTTATTACAGTACTTTATTAATCTCGTTAAGTTCTTAGATTACTTAAATATACACCCTGCGGCGAATTTCAGTACATGTCAATGTATTTTATCAAATAAACGTGATGTCAATCTTGGCGCGCAATTATCGAAACTTTCGTAATTCCCCCGTTCCGATAACCGATTGTCATGGTGTTCCGCAATGATAACCGATTATCGAAACTTTATTTAATCGGACGTACTAGCTACCCAATATACGTATTCATATTCGTTTGATGTATGTGCTGTTTTTCTCGAAATGAAACATTTATAAAAGCGGCAGTCTTTTCTACGCTATCGGTCTACTGTATATACATATATTATATACATACATACATACATACATTACACACTCACACACACACACGCGCGCACGCACGCACGCATGCACGAACATATGCATACTTCATTCATATATATATATATGTGTGTATATATATGAATATACATATATACGATGTTACATACGTGTTCGTTATGTATACTTCGTACTTTTGTTGATTTCTTAATCTTCGTTTGTCTTTAGCTTCTTTCGCTTTTCTTTGTAATCCAATTCTTTTCACCGACATCTTATTACGGCCTTATTATTATTTATTATTTTAACAATATTTTGTTTCCTAATTCCATTTACTCGTTTAATCATTGTTACCAACATTTTCTATCATTACGAATACGTGAGTACGCTTCAACGTTCAGATCCTGCACTCGCATAAATGACAAACTCTTTCTTATTCTTTTACCAGAGGACGAAATTTCCTTGTTTTCTTCTTTTTTCCGTTTACTGTTTATATCCCTAAATCACGTTAGAAATTACATGTTGTTCGTGGTAAGCGGAATAATTAGACGATAGCGCGAGAGAAAGAGTTGGAGAGATGGAAACGATAAAATTTGATCGCAATAGAGAAGTCAAAGGGTGATCGAGTATGTGATGATTTGATATGAAAAAAAGGACAGAAAAAGGGCGAAAAAGAAAAAGAGAGAAAAAGAGAGAGGGATGAGAAAGAGAGAGAAATGGGGGAGAAGGCATTGTGGATGGATTACGAAGGAAAGAATGCCATGGAGTAACGGAGCCTCGGGGTGAAGGACGATCTCGTCGAAAAACGAGACGGGAGAAGAAATAGTTTCGTATAATGTAAAACAGCGTTCTTCGGTTCACAATGTTTTTCGTAAGTTCGGAAGAACGTACGAGGATCAGAGTAAACACCGTATGAAATATCATTAAGCAACTCTACTTTCGATTTCGGATCACTTGACCGTCCTCTGGCACGTGGGCAAGTTTACCCTGAAGAATACATTGAGTTCTATCAACGAGGCTAATATCAAAAATACCGCATACATACATAAACAGGCTCGACCAACTTTTCTATCAAGCTGAAACTTATTCGAAGCAAAAGCAATGTAGAGTAACATTAGTGTCGATAACAGCGATATGGCACTGTACTCGAGTCCACCAGAATTTATACTGATGTAATGTTTTCCTGGTTGTGTCGGTGAAAACGAAGATTTAATTAGCCACGGTAGACCCAAACACAACAATATGTCGAAAGTGTTTGATCCGATCGAGTTGCTAATACCCATCGAGCCGTGTCCTGGTACAAAATAAATCGATCGAAAGATTTAACATAGAAACTATCGCGCCGTCCATTTCAAATATTATTCACAAATTAATAATTGCTCCTCACTAGTACCCAATTAATTCATTATTCGTCTAATTTTTCATACGTTATATTCGCATATCAGCTTACCTTGCTTTGCTACTATTACGCTTGATACAGCCTCTGGTACGCTGGTACCAGCAGCCAGGAAAGTAATGCCCATCACGGAATCCGGTATTTTCAGAGTGTCTCCTGAAAAGAAAGTAATCACGTTTGCCTCATCCTGTTTTTTCTTCTTTTTTCTTATACGATTTCAGTTCTATCTGTTCTTTCGCTTTTTTTTTTTACTTGCTATCACTTTCATTACCAATTATAGTGATCATCCATGCGACCACATAGCTCAACGATCCAATCCAAATGATGCACATAAGGAACGTTATCGGAAACCAATTCTTGAATCGTGGCTTTTCACAATCCGGAATAGTACACATGAAAACTAAATGAATCGGCCAAGTCATAATCCATGCTGTTTTTCTTATCCACCCAGCTCGTGTCGGCCAAACCAATAATTCGTATTCATAATCTGTTCAACGTAAAAGTATGCAACGCTTTTATTTTCCCTCTTTTTCTCTTCCTCCTCCCCCCACCCCTCCTTCCCTTTCTACGCTTTCCGCCAACACGCATCACACTCTCTCTCTCTCTCTCTCTCTCTCCCCCCCCCCCCCCCCCCCCCCCTCTCTCTCTCTCTCTCTCTCCCTGCTCCCTGCACCCTCATCACCATTATTAGTTTAAAATTTGAAGAAACGTTCGGAAGGAAGTGATTTTTCTTTTTACCTGTTTCCGAAATGGATAATACTAAATTTTGCCCAGTGAAATTTCTATACTACTTACTAGGGTCAGGATTCTCTTCTTGAGGTTTCGTTCCTCCATTTTGCAATGGTAGATCTATATGTTCAGTTTGTTCAACGGCCGATTGTACTTTGTCGGATCTTGCCATGTGAATTTCCGTGCTGCCTTCTAAAGAAACGACACTTTGTGTTTAACTTTTTTTAAATGGACAAATATACAAATGTTCGGGGTAAGTATATACGGGGTGGTTGGTAACTGGCGGTACAAGCGGAAAAGGGATGATTCTACGCGAAAAAAGAAGTCGAAAATATAGAATAAAAATCTTTTTTTTAATTTTTTTTTTAATTTTTCCATCGAGACAACGATCTACAGTGAGATCCGTTATATCGTACCGCACGCGTACCGAGCAAAAATTCAAAGTCGATTTTCTCGAAAACAAAGCCTCAAACGAAAAATTTGTATTCTATATTTTCGACTTCTTTTTTCGCGTAGAATCACCCCCTTTCCGCTTGTACCACCAGTTACCAACCACCCTGTATATTGTAAGAAACGTTGTAAATAGATCGGTACACAACTATATTTGCAACGATATTGAATGTACTATTCATTCGTACACAAACGTAAGTAAGAACATGGATATGTATTCGCACATGCGTATGTATATAAGATGATCATATCTACGATGTCAAAGAAAAAGACTACGATATCCAGATCGTTATCGTTATTCGAGTCTATCTGAGCAGAGTAAAGTGTTTAGTGCTTGTTCTCTTACCTGTCGCGTGTCGGTGATCATCCGTTGACGATCGATCAGCATTATGCGTACGGAATCGCGTGCATCGCTGAAACGATTTGTCCCAATACATGACGGCGATGTATACGATGTACAATAACACTAGCGTTAACGCTTCGTACCATTCTACTCGTTCGTCGTGTATGATACATATCAGAATGGCAACCGTAACGCCGTAAGCGAGGCAGTCTCTGCTAACTGGCCACCAGTCAAGAGGAACTACCTGTACGTATTCGATTAACGTACGTAGACCGTTTGAGTTGCATAATACATAATATACATACAGGAAATATCGATAGGTTTCTTAATTGCACGCAGTCAACTAATAAAACGATAATAAAAACTTGTCCAATACTCTATGTGCACCAAGTTATGTAGATCACAAAAACTTACCATCCCAGCACCTATACCGCAGCAAGCCGGTACCGCGAGAATATTGAATACAGCCGAGCCTACTATTGTTCCGACACCGATGTCACCTTCGGTGATGAACGTGCCGATTGCGTTTACGAACAGTTCCGGCGCCGACGTTGCTGCGGCCATAAAGGTAGCACCTGCCACGTCCTTGGACATTGAAAGTGCTGAAATTGAAATTTAAAAACATTCAGAAACAAATCAAGAAATTCGTATCGCTTTGGTTCATTTCACACTTGACTTCGTTCTTCTTCTACTTCCTTCTATGTACAAACCAGCTGTTTCACCCGCGAATCATTCAATAAATTTATTCATCAGGTAGACGAACACAAACGAAAAACATATCTATAAGTCGACACCAATCGTAGCCTCCTAGAAAATAATATATTTAGAAATAACTGCGAAATGTTCCTTACCGTGACATATCTTTTCTACTGCGGGAACGAAGAATTTATCACACACTACCGCTAACGCGATAAACAGGTAAAGCGAAACGATTACGTGCACGACGACAGCTCCGCCCTGCCTCTGTTTCTCGTCGAAAAGGTCGTGTGGAAAGTCTTCTATCGCTGGAGGTGTACAATTTATACCTAGAACATAATATCTTTTTATTTTCACGTGTTTAATTCCATGTCCAACGCGTCAAAGAAAAGATTTGTTCCTGGATACCGATAAGGACGATTTATTTCATAGTAACAGGTAGTTAATGTAACAGTTTGATATTTGGCGATGGAACGATGGTCAAGCGAAAAAACGCATCTAATTCGAACGAATTGTCAATTTTTTCTTTTCTATTTTTTCTTTTTCATTGATGTTTATCCTATTTTCACCTATATTTGTTGTATCATATTGAAGGAGGAAACGGCCGCATCACAAGAAAGAAGAGCGACGCGGCGTTATCATAGAATTCTTGCTTGCCATTTCTTGCTCTTAATCCCATTATATTTATTTCACGTCCATTATGTTTCTCGTCGATTTTTTCGATCTCTTAATAAATCTTCATTGTTTAAAGATACCGGATGTATGTGTATACAGCAAAAGGATCGTGTTTGCTTACATTGTATTGGCATTCGATTTTGGTTAATCTATTACATAAGTAGCGACGACCTTGCATACTTGGATAGAAACGTCAAATACACGCTCCACAAATGTGATTACGAACCCAGATAATTGATTTGCATTCGTTCTAGCCACGATGATCACAAATATAATCGGTTCATTGACCTTCGATGTTCACCCGTTAAATCTCTTTTCCCGGAAAGATGTCTTACTTAAAAATTCAATTTCATTCATAATCATCTAACCATGACCTAGTGGCGACAATCATCATCGTAACAACGCGGTTTCCAATATACTATTCGAAAATAAATAAGCGACACGCCTGCCGATTTTGGATACATACGTACTAATTGCAACATTCGAATCCATTTTCAGAACTCATATTCTAAACTAGCAAATAAGTTCGAAGGCAAAACATACATATGTAATATATAAACACGTAAATAATTGTGACGAATGATACGATGCAACATTTTATCGTAGACACGTATTAATCTATATATATTTAAAAGTAAGCTGGAACAAAGAATAGTACACAAATTTCAAATAACCGTTCGTGTCATAGTTTACGTAGCATTTGCTTGCTCGGTTTCATAAGTTACTCGATGAAAACCATTCCCACGCGCACTCAAAGACAAATAACTCTCTTGGATATGACAGATCAGAAATGATCGCTACAATTGTTCACTCGCGACTCTTTAGCTTTATCATCGAATCGTATCTTTGTCATTTATTTGGTATCTTCTTTTCAACTTTTACTACGACATTTATGCAGGTACACATGTACGTAAATAGACGAAAACAAACACATGCATATGCACATTTTTCATTACGGATGAGTGGACGAAAATAGCAGAAATAAGAAAATTGTGGAAAACTATTTTTACTTTCTTTTAATACTTTACTTTAATGCTCCAGTTTATCAATAACTACAAGTAAATGAAATATCGATGAGCATTAGTTTTGACGGATATTATGTACAAGGGCTAATAAATGTTTCTCGCTACAAAATTTTTCGTTATATAAGTAAATCGTGAGAAATGTCTGATGCTTCACTAAATTTTATTGCATTTCTCGGTTTTCATCTAGCGTCTTTTCAACATGTTATAGTTATTGGCCGTAGTTTGTTAAACTTTGATTTTTCCGATAATTCGATGTTGATTTGCCTATTCTGTTTGATTCATTTCGCACATTCATTTCTCAAGTTTCGATACAAAACTCATTTAACTTTACGTGTATCTAACAATATTTTTACAGCATAATAATCTCTCTATAACAAAGTTGCACTTGTATATCATTGTTCCTTATCATATCCCAACACATTCCGAATAAATGAAATGGCAGGCAAATTGAAAGTTTTATATTCCCTTTCATCGATCTTTTCTCGTAAATTTCATTAAAATATGCGATGCATGCGACAACGGTATTTCATAGCAATGGTTGTATAACGAAAGGAAAAAATGTTCTTTTTCAATAAATATTGGAAATAAGAGCGAGTTTACGAATTTCAATGACCTTCAAATATGTTGTCAAGGTGAACATTCTGGAGAACTTTTTCCTACACATATAACCGCTGCACTGTTCGGCTTTAGTTTTCAGGTTATGTATAAAGCAATTTATTTTTAATACTATATGCATTATTTAACAACTTATTTTAGATACGTATGTTATATTGAAATACTTACTACATTTTTGACCAATCGAAAATTCTGAAATAAGTGCAACATTCTGTATATCAATCAATTCATCGAGGATTATTTCACGTCTAATGGCGGCCGGATACTACTCTGACCCAACCTATAACACATTGATTTTCCTTTTCTATTTATATAATATTACAAATGGTTTCCTTTCATCAATGCGTTAAGTTTAGGTTGGGCTATATAAAAATACGGTCGCTAATTCCAGTATGGAGTGTAATCATAATCTAAATTTGATTCAAGTTTTTTGCGAATATCTTGAAAAGTAACGCCGAGCGATGATTATATGTATGTGTAGGAAATAGTGGTTTAGAATATTGATCTGGTTAATATATTTCAAGGACTTTGAAATCGGCGAAGTCGCCCATTTTTCCATTATATATTGTTTTTCTTACGAGGACTCTTTGCGCATATTCCTACCTTCGTTTGCGGAGCTATTCAACGTCACTCACATTTTCCATGTGATTTTCTCTCATCCCATTTTAAAGTTTCCATCGTTAAACGTTTCTCTACATCGTATACATATCTGCATGTGTATATATATATATATATACACACACACACACACACATATGGTATATGTATATTGTATATACATCAATGACGATCGTTGGAAATAAAGATCAATTTGAAAGTGATATCCCATTGTTGGTGTACATGTGTGAAAGAAAAGTCCTGTCTAGGTTCAAATTAACAACTTTGTTTCTTCACCTCCGTTCTTAGATCTTGATAATTCTTCTCCTATAACCTGTTACAATCGACGTAATGAAGCAAACGATGCACGTATTGGTGTCTTGTACAGGTTACACAGCTGTATAGTTGATGTGACTTCCTACCGATTAAGCAACCTAAAGAAGTTAAATTGCTCTCATTCAAGTTGGCAGAGGAGATGCCATTCATGTCTAATGTACGTCGTATAAACTAGATATAACGTGGCTTGACCATTCGGTGTCGAACGGTTTCGTCTCGTTGGAAACAAACGATGACCATCGGCTTGATCGCCGATCATTAAACGTTGATTCTCAATTAGCAATCTGTTGATTTTTCTTTCATCACATCGTCGCAATTTCGAAAGAACTCAAAACTTTATTATTTCTTCTGTGTTTCGACCGCCGATAAGATCTATCGTGTACGATGCACAAGATTTTTCATTTATATTTTTGCGTTTCTTCGCATTTCGATATTTATTCAATTAGAACAATGTGCGAGAGCGGAGGCAATATTTTTATCATCATATAAACTTTTGCAGTTCAAATACATCCAGACGGAACATTTCTCAGAATCTCAATCCTAAATCATAAGCAGTACTATATTACTAGTACTGTTCACCTCTTCGTCTCACTTTGCTCCATTACACGGCTATCTATTGAAATTGATATATATATATATATATATATATTT